GGAGTTGTTAAGCGGACATAGGTTATGGGAAGCGTGTTTGCCTCATGGACACGTTTGGATTTTGAATGATGGAGAGGGTTTGGGGTTGGCTACTTGTTTTTTCACTCAGGCCTAATATGTTGATCTGTTTGCTTTCAAATTAGTGCCAGGCTCAGTGCCAAACACACAGAATATCCAAGTATATCTCAACTTACAGATCTCTAGTACACTGGAAATGTAAGCTGGTGTCATAGAATTTGTATTTGTCTTGGGGAATCACTTGCCTGGATGGCCTCCTTTTTTGGTGAGTTCATTGTGCTCTTGTCAAACACAGCTCCACACTTAAATCCCTGAAGTTCACTCGTGGGCCAGAAGCTTAGATCTTTGTATCATGTCCCAGATACATAGTTCAAAACATAGTTCAGATCAGAGCTGATGTTCATTCAGTTGGCACAAACATGCTGCATGTCAGGAAAATACACCCCTCATAGATCTTTGGTACTCAGCAAGGCAAAAGGAAGAGGGACTGCAAGCTCTTTCATTTCTGTGGGAGGCTAAGGACATTCAGGAAAAGAGTGATTTACATAAGTGGTAATTTCTTCTCAGTAAGTACTTTGGTGCCAACTGTGAGGGCTCATGTGACACTACAGATGTTCCAGTGTGGTCGCTTAGTCATGTCCCATTAATGACTGCTGTTATTTAAACAACAGTAAGTTCAATGATGTAGTACATAGAATTTCATATGGCTGAGCAAATTGCTGAGGTGAATTTTGCCTACATGGACGTGGGAGAAGTTTCGTGAGCTTTCAGAGATGCAAAAGAGTGAAATGTTCTCTTCACCTGTGTTAGCAGGGTCAGCTGAGAGATGCTTGTATCAAAAGAACGATTGGAAAAACTGAGGTACAGGCTTTGCTTCCCTGGTAGAAGTAGGAAGATACTGGGTGAATATGTGTCTTAGCCCAGCTGCAGGGAGGACTGCTTAGGGAGGACTGCAGGGGGGACTTGCAACAAATAATATTCTCTCTGCTTTGAGGGAAATTTATGTGAAATATTTTCCTTCTTTGCAAGCTTCATTCAGCAAAATTCAAAATATTTGCTTCAGCTTGCTAAGAGGCAAACTGGGCACTTGTTTTGTTCTAGTTTTATTACTATATCTAACTTCAGCCCAATCATTTTGAAGGCTGTTTAGGAGAGGGTTAGCGCTTTTAAATCATCAATATTTTAAGAATAAGACAGACAATGACACATTTGAATATTAAGGCCAGGATCCCCTAAGCTTTTAGTGCAGATCAGATTGACTTGTGAGATTGCATTCAAAGATCACAGGAGCAACTCCTCCCCAGTACATGGATAAAAGAGACCAAAACATAATATGGGTCTGTTACATGACCTGGCGGGTATGGACACAACCACTGTGTGACCAGACTGTTTATAAATCTTTAACACCAGCTTGCTAATAACATTATTAGTGCAATGAAGGGATGTGGTGCCATCAAGTGAGCCAGCCTCAGAAGCAGTGCATTCACAAAAATGCATGCCTTTCATCCTGCTGCTTTTTCACATCCAAGGTATGACTAAAAAAAAAGAGGTTGCAAGACCAGATTGGAATCTGAATAATTTTTTTCTGTTGTCTGTATTGGTGTTAATGACTACAGGATGAGCAACTCCGAATTTTAGTGATGGTATTATGAACTGGTTTTGAGGTG